TGGTCTGCGAGTTGGCGAACTCATGTTGAACCGGCACACGGGCACTACTGGGTCTGTCTTCACTCGCGGGTTTTTTGTTTGAGTTATTCAAACGCGTTTCGGCATTACGCCATCTTCAGTGAAAAACTGTAGAGATAAAAAAGGTTTGAGCTATCGTGACCTCGATCCACTCGACACTAACTTCCCATCTCAACCCCGTGGTAGAGCAGCGGCGTGTCTAGCCGAAGGTTGTGGGTTCGAATCCCGCTCGTGACACTGACTTTTTTTATCTCAACTAAAAACCTTAATTAATTGAAAAATATTAATTGGTCAAGCGGACCACGAAAACTAGTGGCTTTAAATATAATTTTTCTTTCTTCCCCATATCTTGAAAAAACCATAATCAAACAATTAATTGAGCACAGTTCTCTGCAACGCTTGTATAAATCTGAATCAGATCAATTAATTTTATAAAAGTACTGACCACATGTAGCATGATTTGATCGGGGTCTTAGCTTTAATTTTGCACATCTTTGATTTTCTGGAAATTTATTGAACATATGCTTCAAGGTTGCATGCTTTTGTAGAAAAACTTGTTCGAAATTTTGTACGTTAGTTGCGTCTCATTTTTTAAATTTTAAACATTGGTTTTTGATTTCGGAGTAGTGAATTTGAAATAGACAATATTTTCTCCAGTGTCCAGCCTTTTTAGCCAAACTTTCCACCCTCACATTGTACTCAATACCAACATGAGTCTTAACCCATGCAAATTGGACAATTTTACCGCTCTGCTTCGGAAAACTAATTTTACTTTGATTCGATCCTATCGCATACAGGGTGTCCTTTGGCTGAATTTCTCTTGAACCAATGATGATAAAAAAAATTTTAAAACTTTTTTGGAAAAAACTATACAGGGTACTTCAGGCCCATTTCAACTTTTTAAATTTTAAATATGACAGATACATCCTGACACATCATTTTAAAAGGGTTTTTACGATGAAAATTGGTCAAAAAATGACAAAGTTGTGGCAAAAAGTTAAAAAAACAAAACAGTCATTTGGTTTGCTATTTATTAATCAGTTCATGTTCGAACTGCTTGCCTTGTCTAAAGATGCAAAGATTTTCTCTCTTTAACCACTCTTTTCAGAGCGATAGAGTCATAGAAGTCGGATTGACAAGTATTTTCTACCCTTTGCCGCAGTTCTTCAACCGAGGTTACGGGGTTATGATTCGCGTAGACACTGTTTTTTAAATGGCCCGAATGCACAATTGTTTTCAGCATACAAATCCGTTAAAATGATGTGTCAGGTTGTATACGGTCGTGTTTGAAATTTTGAAGTTGAACTGGGCCTGAGGTACCCTGTATAGTTTTTCTCCAAAAAATATTAAACTCGAATTGTTTTGTTTTGATAGCCTCATTGGTTCAAAAGATTTTCAACACAACACACACTCTGTAAAGGAGCCCTTTCATCCGTAGGTTGAAATAATATCTATAATTTGAGTGAATGTATTTATTAGGGTGAATGCTATATGTTTGGACGTTGTTGTGATGGAATATAGAGTTCACTCAAACACATCAAAGTAATCAGGGTTATTTAGTTTTATATATATTTGCAGTGTGATAGGGGGAGTGTCACTGTCGAAATATCAAAAACCCTGGTGGCTACCCGATTGTGTGAAGGTATTTATTTGCGTGAGAGACTAAATATTTATGGACACAGTCTGTGTGGAACATCGAGTATCCACAGACCTACCGAAACAATTAGGTTAACTTAGGAGAGCGAATGCGTTACTACGTGTGAATGTATTTATTGGCATGTATGAAAGGAGGGCGTCACGGTGAAAATCGGTGCAATAAAATAAAAATACAAAACAAATAGCATGTATGCGTATTTTAATTGGCTTAGACATTTTAAACACGTGTTAAAAAGGGTTAAACATCAAAGATAGGGGTAATAAAACAAATCAAGACAGACGAAACATGAAGAGTCAGCAATACCTAGCTGCCATCAAACAAAAAAGTAAATAAATAAAAATAGGAGTAAAAACATGACTGTCAGTCGCATAAAATTTTGATAATTTAGGGGGAGCTTAGAATGTTATTTATTATTAAATATTTGTAATTAATTGTAATTGTTCGATAGGCTTATAATTAACCAGTTCAGATTTCCTTTTGTAAAAGAAAGAGATCATGGAGGCTTAATCAAAGGGTAATTGAAGTCAAATTAAATTTAAAATCAGTTTTTATGGGATTTTTTAAAATAGTAATATAAAAATCTCGTTAAACAATACCAACATATTATGTTGCTATGTTGACTTGCTGTGATAAACTGAATTGAAAACCAATCATTTTAAGTAAATATTTATATTTAGAAAGTTTTCGTGTTTATTTTTATGTTAGAGTTATAAATAGTATTAAGTTATGAAAATTGTGTTTACCTCATATGAAACTTTCTTTTGTACATATAAATACTTTGTCAAAGCCAACACCATATTTAACAAATAAATGCAATTGCTATCTTCGACCTTTTTTTTAAATTTGCTCTGTAGACAGGAAACAGAAATGACGTTTTGAAAGTGTATAACAAATCAAAAAAGTGTAACGAGAAGAAGTAATGAATATTTAAATTTTAAGGGAGCTTCCGGCTAGTCTTTAAATAATTTTTCCCTTATATTGTTTCCGAACAATATTTCCATATGGAAAACCGTAATATTTTACGCGAAGAGATGGTGTAAAGTCCGTCCAGTTAATGAAATGTCCTACAAAATGTAAAAAATTACAAAAAACGAAAGCCAAAATGCTTCCTTTGTAACTGAAGTGACCAACTTTTCAGATCGGAGCAGTTCATCCTTGGTGTGGCTGTTGTACTTGAAAACGTTTCTTTATGAAATCATAGACAAATTACTTGAGGCCAGAATAATTCCGTGAGAAAATTCCCTTTACCTTTACTGCATGACGGCCTCCTTCGCGTTCTTTTCCATTTCCTGTAATCCTTCCGTTTTATTTGATTATTTTACGAGTTATTTATTTTAATTAGTTATTATTTTAATTTTAAGAGTTACTATTCCTGTTTATTCTTCAAAAATATTTAGCTGAGGAAATTTTCAACTTCTAAATTTGGAAAAGGGGGACCGCGGTAGCCGAGTGGTTTGCATGAGAGACTCTCACGCCGCGGTCGTGGGTTCGATTCCCACCGTCGCCTCTGGCCCTTTTTTCCCGATAACCCCCAATTTGAACAACATATATAAGAATTCGTCATGGCTAATATGCAAAGATCATAAGGCCAATAAAAAAAAAGTCACATTAAAACAAATTTTAAAAAGACCCAACATAGCAGGAAGTTACCCGTGCTAAAAATTGGTATTTGTTTTGTTTATAAAATAACTGTTAATTTGTTTGAAAATATAAGCTCTGACATTGAAGCTCGTGCCGAAAGCTGAGCTAAGTTGGAATTTTGTTTTTATTCTACTCTTTGACCATAATACTGATCATACATCAAATTAAACTTCAATTGGTCGATATCTTCTCTTCAATAATCCTTCCTTTATCGATTATGTACTTTGGTTTTGTAAAGTCCGAAATGACTTTCGAGCTTTTGGACGAATAGAGGAGATTAAATGTCAGATGTATAATATTCAATTGTACAATCGACCTGTTACTCTCGAAAAATAACAGGTCACAGGATAACTCGGTGGTAAACGGGTTTCAACATCCGGCAGAAATTAATCTAAACAGGTTTTCGGAAGTTTGAGGTAATTTTCGAATCTGCAAGAAAGGTTTCTCCGGCAGTAGACGTTATACTGATCGGCGTTGATCGTGACAAGCACACTGAGAGGAAGACCGATGCGACGTTAGAAAAGATGGAAAATTTAGAGAAAATTTCATTTCTCTCTCTCTCTCTCCCCCTCTCCCTCTCGGCATTTGATCAAAATTGATATCATAAATCAAAAACAGAACGTTTGATTTTTCAATGATCATAACTAGATCAAATAGAATTAGCTCAATGCTCTATTTTTATCTAGTTCTTTATTTGTAATTTTAGGGTCCCACAAATGTTTTTTTAATTAAAAACTTTAATCATTGATAAAACCATTTCAAGGCGACTCCAAATCGCAAGTGGCGTCCGTTGATTAATTCAATTCTGCCCACACACGATAGTTCACCATTCCTACTGTCTTCAGTAAATGTGCCAGGGAAAAGGCAATTTCTGAGAAAATTAACTTGCATTCAATAAATATTAAGGGTTTATATGATAGAAAAAAAATTGAAGTAAAGATTAACGTAGACATTGAAATGATAAATAGTTTTTAATAGATTTCGTGATGGTTTTAATTTTTTTGAAATGAGTATTCATTGGATATCAGAGAAAAATAAAATTATACTGCTAAATATGGAATAGGCGATATTTGGGCAAAATGTAAATGAAATAAAAATTATAGAAAATTAAAAAACTAATCACACAATTTTTAACTGAGATTCGTGAATTATAATAAATAATAGATAAATTTAGCATGTATGCAATTTTTTTATAATCCTGAGTTGGAGTCATTAGATTATAAATAAGTTATTTGTTTAATCCATTCGGAAAGTTTTCTCGATTTATGAAAGTGCGACTGAAACTTTTACTTCGACAAAAAAGATACCAAACATTGTTGTGTCGAGACAACAGGAATGAATTGGCAGTGTCGCGTTCAACTTGTCTCGCTGAGGACGTTTTGAGGTCAATTTTCGGCCTTTTAGACATAGTTTCATTCAGGTTCAATTGTTATCTTTGGAAAAAAGTTTAAAAATGTTCTTGTCTTACATTTTTATAAACTTTACTTTGCACTATCAATGGCATCGAGGTACCTAATTAAGATTTCGACGATGGTATATAAAAGTAAACCATTCTTTGTTTTTTAACAGACTTTGCGGGTTTAAATATTTATTATCCTGTTATTTGATGTAGGGAGGACGTTCGTAAAAAGATTGACAGTACCGGGATTGTACTTTTGGAAGAATAGACCATTTTTCGACTCACCGGTGATTTTTTTTCTAAATTCCTCCATGGCTTTTTCCCTGATTTCAGGCGTTTCTCTGAGTTCGATCCTTGACTTCTCGAGGAACCATTCCCCGGGGTCGGCCTCGTCCTCGAACCTGAGGATGTGCTCCCCGCATCGTACTCTCTTGTCGATCTCCATCGTACGAACGACGACTGAACGGACGGCGACCGTGTGCCGACCTTTATCCGCTCCCCACTTTTTGTCCGGCCCGAACTGTTTTACCGGGCACCGGCCGCTGGAAACTCTTCGGCGGAAATTATTCGGAAAACTGTCCTTTGGACGTAATGGGCAGGATTTCCCCGGTCGCTAGGTCATCGGCTGAAGAAAGTTCCGAGAATACGGGAATAACGGCCGGCTGGCATAGAACATTTTGCGACTGAGTCTTCTCGTTTATTATTTAAATATTTTATAAGGGTAATAATAAAGACTACTAACTAAACCTACTAAAATTACTTTATAACTATAGCATCCCAGCTTGATATAAGAGCATGTGTTAAGCAACTAGGTCATAAAAATAACCACCTGTTTGTGGTACAACTGTTTTTTTTTTAAATCTTCTTTTTCAACTGCATCATACAGAACTTTTTCGGGGCAGATATAAACTCGATTGCAGTATAGAGGTGGCCCCGTAAAACCAAGAGAACAATCTTCATTAAACGCTTCTAAAAATTGTAGGATGGCTGACATTGCAACTGTAACTCCATTTTTGTTTTAATGTAGAATCGAGGTGGTTTTTTTAAACAAAAATGGAAGAAACTAGAACAATGTGGAAATTGTTAAACTGCGATGAGTGGTTTTACTGATAAACTGTTTACATTAGATATAATATGACGTCTTCCTAGCTTTTTCTCTTGAGGGACACTTTTCGTTATAGACCTTGAAGCTGATTTTATACAAAAAGCGTAACCGGAGTCTTTATTGTGACAAATATACTTCTCTGTCCGGGCTGTATAGTTTTAAGAATAAAATTAACACGGTAATTTCTGATATTTAAACCAGACTATCTTTCTTTTGTAGTTTGGTTCTTTCCGATCATTTCCGCCTGCCTATCCTCGCTGATTTGGTCTGACCCACCCCTTACGAAATGCTGAAACGAGTCTGATCAAACCAGCGAGAAAAGCCAAAACTACATCTTTATCATCAAGCAAACCCCAATGGAAAATCTCACTGTTTATCTTGCTTTCGCTAAAATTTTTATTTTACTTGTAATATATATTCTACTATTTTATCATTTTATATTTATATAATTATTATAAAGTGTTATTCGTTACGTGTTGTCCTTCACAATTGAATAGCGAGTGATTAGGGTGATTAATCGATGGGTCATGGATAGTTTTTTTTCAATATTAATCCATTTCTTGTTTATTTACGAGAAAATTCATTTTAACTTGTTTTGGTTGATAAATTGTTGACATGTTGCTCATGAAGTGTTTACACAACATTTTTTAGAAAATAATTCAGGTAAATTGAAAAACAAAAATGTAATTTCAAACTTTTATACTTTCAGAATTTTTTGACAAATATTCGATTTTTGAAATTAGATATTTTCTGTCCTGTTAGTATTTTTCATTTTTTAAAATATAATGCACTGAATGAACAAAATGAGTCGATGAACACACATTGAACTAATAACAGTTCCTCACTGAAGATGGCGTGAATCTTAAATATGTTTGAGTGAAATGTAAACCAGTGTTGATAGGACTAGGTAAGTAAATTGTTCAATGTCAATCATTTCAAAATGATAAAGATAGTATCAAATGTGTTATAATCAGTTTGTACTTTTTAACTAAAAATTGTACAAAGATGTATGTAACTTTGGTCTGTTATATTGTAGAAAAATATTAAGCTTATTACGGACTTTCACCCCAAAGGGTTGTCACTGATGTGTTGACCCTACCTCAGGGGATTTCACTTACCCTGTTATGTGGTTGTGCCGCTAGTATCCCCATATGTCCAAGATGTCCAGGAGGTCTTCACTTCCCAACCAACGGGGTTAGGTTTGAACGGAGGCTTTTGACAGCTAGATCATTTCAGCCCCAAATGAATGAAAAATATAATCTAGCCTAATACTAACCATATTCCATAAGCTAGTCACACAAATAAATACATTCATATATTGAATTCATTCTGATTAGATGGCGGAATACTCAATATTCCTCTGTCGACCTACACACAATATCAATAATTTAATCTAAATTAGGATTGATGGAATACTTTCATAAATATTCCGCCATCGATCCTAAACACACACACTGCTGGAGGGGTGATGGTGATGCTATATTTCACCATCAGCCCCTCACAATCACATTATTAAATACATTGTTGATTCCCTCGAGCCCAACATGGTAGCTGGAAAGATAAGACTGAGGTCTGATCCTAGACTGCCAACTACATCATTTAAGGTGGGATGGGAGATAGTACCGAGGGTTTGAACAGAAGTGTCAAGGTGAGGCAAAAGGTTAGAGTGAACAGATGATGATGAAGGATTGTATTTAAGGGTCAACAGACACCTATAAATTCACAGATTCAACATAAACCTATGAATATACAACTTTTAAATAAAATTTTTGTAATTAAGAGCTAACTTAAGGCCATCATATTTTCAATTAATAATTAATAGTAATGTCATTTATATGACAAAATTAAAAAAAAATGTATATTCCTAAACACTGAAACAGAATCTGTCTAAAGTTTGGCAATAACTTTAATTTGTACGGTCACACAATAATGACACAGAAAACAAACACTTTGAGTGAGTACAAACACTGATTGAGACTAAAATTTCTAGCATTGTATAAATGCATTTTTTTTCACATCCGACTTTTATTTGTATAATTTAAACAATCCTTTTTAAAAAGATGGTTCCTACTTACATTAAGTTCATTAATCAATTTGGTTCAATTCCCAATGTTTGAAATTAAAAACTTAATGTTAGTAGGAACCATCTTTTTAAAAAGGATTGAACTCCACACTCACCCTGTCATTTATAATTTCTATTAATTTAAACAATGTTTATTAACCCCAGACCCTGAAGATGATCTCAATAAAAATCGAAACTTTGGCACGATCAAGTAAATGTTTTTCTAAACCGACGTCACACCAGACTGCAGCTTACGCTCTCCAAATAATTATTAATTAACTGTCACTAAACACCACACATTTGAACAGTCTGTTGACTTACAAATCATCATCATCATCTTTATGCTGTGGGTCATTCATTTTTCATAGAGTGGAACTGATCAAGTGTTGAATGGAATGAATGTTGAGGTCATTGAGGATAGGATGGTTAGACATATACATCGTAGTGAAGTATAGCTTGGGGGTCTGGAGAATTCTTTTGAGGACTTTTGATAGGAATGCTTGAATGGGTAGCTAATAGTAACAGCTGCATGGTACCAATCTGTTCATCTCTGTATATCCAACTATGTCAAATTATTATTTTGTAGAGGGTTTGTTTGTCATGTCGATTATGTTCCTAGCAATCTTCTTAGTTGTCCAAGAATTCTGTTACAGTTCCGCTTCAGTCTTGTGTGGGTATCACATCTGTCTTCTGTCTAGATATAATCTCAAGTATTTAACTCGTGTGGATGTCAGTAATTTGTTGTTGTTCTCTTATAGTTTATAATGTTTTTTTTCTTTTTAGCTTTAAACATAAACGTGATATGGGGGCAGTTCTTGTTCAATTTCATCTTTTAATATTTGTATCATTCTTTGATGAGCTCGAGGAGTTCTTGAAATAGCCAGTAAGGATTTGGGTTCGTACATAATATTGCGGTATCATCCGCATAGGGTGTCAGGTTGATGTTGGAATGGATTGACAGGTCAGCAATATAAGTAGAGAACATGGTGGGACTAAGAACACTCCCTTGTGGGACACCAGCTTGAATCAGTTTTATTTCCCAGAACACTTTGTTACACCTTACTCTGAAGCAGTGATCGGTATTATGTTAGTATGTTGTGTCTGATTTTGGTTATAGTTCTTTTCTTCTTAGTTCTATATTCAATCCTTGTAACTTCAGTATAATGTGGGGTTTCAACTAGTCTCCTGTCTTTGTATAGTCTTATAGTTTTGCTTTTGCACTACTGAAGGTAGGGAAGCCTTGTATTAATGAAAGAAGTTGAAAAAATATTTCTCCTCCCAAATCAAAATCAAAACTCGCAGTTTGCATTTCAGACCCTTCTGAACAAATTTGGTTCCGTGCCGGTCTGTCTTTGTATCAGGAAAAACTCTGAAACCATGAGACCAATTTTGATGCAATTTTCATTATGCAGGTTGCTTTCTAGATGATCCCTTATGAATCTTATTCTAAATGGATTGATATATGCGCATGAACATGCACAAAATGTGAGGAAGCTATACTGCCCACCCACTTGGCAGACTGTTTTTTAATCATTAAATTTAATTAATTTAATTTCTTGTTGTTGGCTTATAAACTATAAGGTTTTTTTAGTTTTAAACATAAAAGTGATATTGGTGCATTTGTTCTCGTTAAATTTCTTATTCTAACTTTTGTATCATTCTTTGATGGAGGTCAAGGGGTATTCCTGCGTATTAGGGATGGCTAGTGTAGGATTCAGAATATATTTTGTACGTTATAAAATGTATAAAAGAAAATATGATGCTTCAACTGATATGGTGGTTTTTTAAAACAAAAAATATATTATTTCCTGTGCCAAGTGATTTGTGATTACCTATTGTATTAAGTGTAATTAGCCAAACTGTAAAAATGATTGAATTGATAATAAAGGTATTATAGCAATTAAAAAAACCTTAATATCCAAAATGATCAATTAAAATAATATTAATAATGATCAACTAATCCATATATGTATTTAGTAGTAATAATCGACTGAATTAATTATTTTAATTAATTATACTGTAAGCCGGTCCCCGTCTTAGCAATAAGTTTAAATTGTTAAAATAAGAACAAAATAGGGTAAATGATGAAAAGGGACAAAGGTTGTACTCTGAAGGGGCGACCACCCAGACGGGAACGACGTGACAAATCTGGCAAATGTAGCTTGGAAATGGATACCCAGGTAGACAGTTAGGTAAGAACGTCGAAGTGTGTGGCAGACCCATGCTGGACCAAGTTCCCACGAACCTGGAGAACATAAAATAGCAATAGCTAGACAACCGTCTTTGCCGGCCCACCTGCGGTGTGAGAACTCCCCGACTTTTGAGTTTCCTTTCCATCCCTACTCCGGGAGAGACCCGGTATAAAAGGGATGACTGGAAAATCCAAAGGCAGTCAAGATACAAGACTCACCCCAGGCAGTCAAGACCAGAGACTCTCTCAGGAGTCACTCGGAAGACTTGCCTGAGTCAAAATCCGAGACTCACCCCAGTCATTCAAAATCAAAGACTCACTCCAGGCAGTCAAGACCAAGGACCGGGAGAGAAGCAGCCACACTCCGTCTGGGATTCAACAAGAGGACTCAGCCAGCCAGAGCCAGCAAGGATCAGCCGTTGCGACCAATCGAGCCAAGTCAGAGGTCGAGAGAAGAGGTGCTGTGGACACTGATTGTGGCGAGCATCGTTTGGGGTAAGTCCCTTTGTTGATAGACTCATTCCAGGTTTAGAGTTGTGGCTGACTTGTAGATTAATTAGAATCTGTGGTTTGGGTACTGTTAAGAGAATGAATTGTGTACAATGAATGTTACTGAGTATGCTCTCTGGTTTATTGAATTCTGGAACCTTACCTTCCCCTACACAAGAATAAGTAGCGACGCACTTACACCGACTAATCTCTTGTCGCTTATAGAAAAGCAAGCGAATATTGAGAGATTACTCGGCCGCCGCGCCGTCGTCCATTTACAATACTTTTAACCAAAGCATCCTTAGCTAAAGGAATGGGTTTGAATCCCACTCGTCACAATTTTTTTTCATCTCAACGTATAATTAATAGATAAGGGTATAATTAATTAAAATAATTATTTAAATTTAATAATATAGGTTATTTATTGCAATTAAAATACTTTAAAGACTGAAAAAGATATACTGGACTTTTTATAAGTTATCGTTACTTTAATCAGCGTAGAAATAATGGATTTCCATAATGTGACAATTGTAAAGTGAAACCATAGCTTAAAAAGTTATTGTTACCTGTAGGCTCCTAAGATTGGAGAAATAAAGTATATAATTGAATCTACATATTGATCTAAAAATTCTACCAGTAATATAGGGAAGAATTAAGAAATTAATTAAAATTTAATTTAGTGTAAATTAACTACGAGAACTTTAACCATTTACATGCACCACTACTGGACTTCTACCACTAGTTCACAGTTAAAATAGATAATCTAACCTGCATTGCACAATGTACAATAAAGTTATAAAAAGAGTTTGTTTAAAAAATTATCAATTATTAACGGAGAGTTATTTTTTTCCCAAATGAAATACAAACTGATATGTCAGTGTTTTGTATTGTAGAACACAAAACCCTTCAAATTTTGTCAAACTGTTAACGTAGTCAAAGTAATTAAATTTTTGGAAATATTAGGAGAAACAGTTTAATTAGGCGATATAGCTTAAAAGACCAAATTATAAATAAATTTGTATTTAATATAGAATTCCATCTAGAGCTATATACATTATCAAAATTTTGTAGTTATTGGCAATAATTTATTGCTTCCATCCCCAGCTGTTCCATTCTATAAGAAAAATTGACAAATTATTAAATCGTGTAATATTAAAACAATCCAATTCTTGTATACCTTTTATTTTTTCTTCTGTGCCTTTGATGGCAGGGTACCAGTCTTTGCTCGTGTAGTCTATTTTTGGTAACTTCCCACCATAATTTTCAGGCAAATATTCGGGGCTCATTAATTCATGTAGGGTGCTCATTTTCGATCCATGGAAGTAAAGCTGATAAAAATTTATAGTTTATATTATATAATAGTATAATTTATATTAATATAATTTATAGTTTTGTTTAGTTATACTTTGATTACAACTGCTATGTGTTTATTCTTTAAGGTATGCAACCCAATACAATTTGATAATATGTATAACAAACTATAAAGTCATTCCTCATGGTCTAAGACCGTCTGAGGTTATATTTTGATTAATAAGGATATTTAAATTTTCCTAATCTTTCTTGATTTCTATTGTTGGACAGTTTTATTATATTTATTTATATTTTTTGGCTTATTTAGAAGGTATTAACCGTCACTACTTTTTGGCACTTCTCCCATAAACTGTCATTTTTATTTACATATACGTATATAACACATAAAAAAAGGTTTCATAATTAAATAATTTGAAGGAATGAATGTATTGAAGAGTGAATGAGAGTGGATTTGGATCTGGAGACAGATTGCGTTAGGGGCTGATGTTAGCTGTTGACAACACCTAGACCCTAACCTCACCTCAGCACCTGGACAGATAGACCCAGGTCTGCCCCTCGACTGCTAACACCCGGGTGGGTGATTTTTGATGCTTACAAATAATTTATTGCATATTACTACTACTGTTGTTTTGTTTAAAAACCGTTAAAAGGTGTTAAGCCTTTTTTTTAAATAGTAACGAAGGAAGGATGAATCAACCGTCAGGATATCACCAATAAGTTGAAATCAGGGATGTGGTCATCAATGAAGTCTCCAGCTTATTAGTTTAATAGTAACATTATTTTAATTTTGATATTTTTTAACCATGGAGGTTCTGACACATGGAAGAAACGTCATCTTTATCTGATTAAGGAGAGGTCATGTGAGGTTGACGCAAGTTAGATTAGTTACATGTAGGTGAAAAGGGTGATGGAAGAATATTGAGGCGAGCTTGTGAATGAGATTGGACATAGGAGCTGATTGCGTTGAGGCTGAAATGACCTGATTGTTGATACCCCTAGAGCCCAACTCAGTGGATGAATGAGATCGAGGTCTGATACTGACTGCTAACACCCATAGTGGGTGATTGTCGAGGCATGCTGTGTTGTAAATTGCAAAAGTTGGAATTGCCAGTGAACTGTGAGAAGACCACTGTATGTACATCTGTACAAAGTTAGGCTTATATAAATCAGCAATCAGTAATAGTGATGGATGTTATGGTCTTTTTTCACTTTTTAAGCATAAGGGCATCAGCTAAGGTAATGTTTCTTTTCATTGATTTATCCATTACATTGATACAAGTGGCATGAGAATCTACACTATCAATGTGCACCTTAGGCAGAAGGATAAAAAGAAAATCAGGGAACAATGGAATTCACTCATTGGATACAAACAATCCCAGAACCTTTTAGTAAACTTTGGAAGGAAAGATCTAATAGAATGCATTAAAGGAAGCAGGGAAAAACTGCCAATCCTAACTGGATTCTTAATACTGCAAATGGGCAACTGAAGAAGATTGGCATAACCCAACATGGCAAGTGCAGTCTGCAAAGAAGCAGAAGAAACATCAACACCTTCTAGCAAATTTTGGATGGAAAAAAAAAACAGAAAGCATAAAAGTAATCAGGAAAAAACTTACAATCCTTATGGGATTCTTAACAGGATACTACAGACTGAACAGGCATCTGAAGAAGTTTACCCAACACGTGCAGATTCTGCAAAGAGGCCGAGCAGACACCAACACATCTACCAACAAACTGTGGTGCTACCCTTTCTCTAGTTCCTTGATGAACTAGTTCTCACCGGTGTGCTATAAGCACTGAACGGGGGACACAGCAGCTCTTAAACGGCGCAATATTATACAGCCCAACTAATACATCTACATATATGTCTAAGTTGGTATTCATGGAACCTTCGGATCTCCCTTTCATGGATGTTCCCAAGTTGTAAATACTTGTATTATATTTATGTATTGTACCTGTATTATTGTTTTCGTTAGTTCATTAAAATTTTATATATTAAAAATTATCCTAAAATTTAATTTTAGAAATGCACAGTGTATATCTTGGAAACTACAAGATTTGCCTAGCCAACAGTTTAACGTCATTTACATACCCTGGTTTTTAACTTTTCTTTTACAAAAGGCTGGAAAACCTTCCAGACGGCGTTGAAGATAAAAGGCTGCTTCACTATGTGTACTTGCTTCAGCCTCAGCGGCATTGCCTCCTAAACATAACAAACAAATTGATGTTTTGCTCTATTTTTTTTTCTTTCATTAGAAATAGAACCTGGATGAAGGAGAGCAGTCTAAACGAGAAGCTAGGCGTCAGTTGTGCAACCTGCTTCAGACCCATATTCGAGAAGTCCAGAATGACGACGACCCCCCGGATCAGCGTCTCTGGCTCCTGCATGGCGAGGACATGGACCATGTAGAACAGCTTGAAGATCTGGTCACCGTTTATCGCCCTGGTGTCCCAGAGTGCTGAAAGACGTCTCCGAAGACCGTAATTATAAGTTTAGGCAAATAGCCGATTCGATACTTACAGCCAAGATTGGCGATGAGTACCCGCCTTCCGTTCTGGTCCCTGTCGACGAGGACGTTGACGACGTTGTGATCGACCATGGCAGACTTTTCGTCGTCGGGGAGCACGCTTCCAATGACCGCAGCATGCTTCACTTTGAAATCGGAAACTTTCTTCATCTGTTTTCCCGTTTAACAAAATTCATCAAGGTGATTATTAATAAACCGCAATCGACAATAATAAAATCTCACCAATTGAAGTGCGCTCTCCGGGTAGAACTTGCAAGGTCTAAGAAATATTTTTAATACTTCATCGTCGTCTCGAAATTGCAATGAAGGCTCTCCTAAAACATACAAGTAATATTTCAAAGGGTGAAAAAATTCTGTTGGGCGCTATACGGATTAAAGTATATATTTCCACCGACTTCTTTTCTCGGCTTCATTGTAAAAAAACTTCATACTGAACCGGCACTGGGTCACATACAACAGAAACAATAAAATCGAATTCTAAATTACAGAAAACCCACTGAAACCTACATCATGAAAGCACAATCCAACCACCCACACCAACACAAAGAAATGAACATTCTACAAAATAAACTGAAGGCTTGGTGTTCTTCTGCCGAGCTCCTGACCATAAAGAATGTACTTCAATAGTTTATAGAACAGAGAAGCTATAATAGTACATCTATTAGAATAAATACGGACAGTAAAGTTTCCACGTTAATGATACAGACCATAAAAATCGCAAAGTTATAATTGAGGAAATTAGATGTTTGCGAACCCTAAGAAAGGAGGAAAACTGTATAGTCACATCTCAAGGAGGTAAAGTCCACGCCGAATTAAAAGGAGGAAGCAGACCATATAGCATAAAGCGCAGCGAAAGAAGAACTGAGAATAATCACGTGTGCAAAGACACCACTAACGTTTAAAAAAGGTAAATAAGAAAAAATGTAGAACAGTAGCAAAGAGTTGTATCTATGATAGTGTCACAAAGTGATATATCCGGAATATAATAGCAAGGATGAAAATCAAGATGTCTCACACCTACAATGGCTTTAACATGGAAGAAACCGGTCATAATTATCTCGCTTCAGAATCATCGTCGACCCGAATTGCCCATGCAGTGGTGGCGAACAAATATAGAGCCACATTATTTACTGCTGCAACCTTTTTGAACGAAATGTCATTTGAATGAGAACGAGCAATATTTATCAAGAGGATCGTTCCGGAAGAAGGAACATGGCCATTGGAAGAAAAGGACATCTTCAGCTCATATTATATTCACTTTCTAACGTTTATCATAGTTTCAATTAATTATCCTTTTTATCTAAGGTCTGGGCTGAGATGAAAAAGTTAGTGTCACGAACGGGATTCGAACCCACGCCTTCGGCCGAATGCGTCACTGCTCTAACCACTTGAGCTTTCGGGACATCAACCACTCAGACACCAACTCCTCATCTTAACCTACAAACTTTCGAATTTTCCCTCTTTTTATACCTTTTTTCAAATGTCATGTACTCAGGATTCGATTCACAGCGACTTATGAAGTGGCCACGGGGAGCTGTCATCGAAGTGATTACTTCTTAAATTGTTACATTAATCCGTGTATGTTTAGCGGTCATAATTGTTCATATTAATTATTTCAATTAATTACACTTTTTATCTAAGGACTTGGGTGAGAGGAAAAATTTAGTGACACGAACAGGATTCGCACCTACGACCTTCGGCAGGTTGTTAGAGTGGACAGAGCAGCGGCGTATTCAGCCGAAGGTCGTAGGATCGAATCCCGCTTATGACACTAACTTTTCCACCTCAACCAAGGTGTAAGACAAAAAGAATAATTAATTGAAATAATTAATGTGGTCAATTCCGCTAAACAAATATGGATTAATTTATCAATCGTTTGAATCTAGCAAATTTGTAAATATTTCTTTGTCTATTATCATGTGTATGTAAATATCTATATTAATTATTGAATTATGTATATACAAATACCTATAATCCATACCGGGGAACCGGTAGAAAATATAAGGCCCAATGGCAAGGGTACTGATATTGGAAAACAAATTGCAGCATTGTGGCACATGATCCACAGACTAAAAACACTGAAACTCAACACTGAAAATTTCTTTAAATTAATTAAGGTTTTTAATTGAGATAGAAAAGCCAGTGTCACAAGCGGAATTCGAACCGACGATCTTCGGCTAGATACGCTGCTGATCTGCCACTTGAGCTGTCGTGACCTCAACTGGTAAAACAGCGGCGTATCTAGCCGAAGATCGTGGGTTCGAATCCCGCTCAGACACTGACTTTTTTATCTCAACCAATCAAAACCTTTAAATTGATTGAAAGATATTAATTGGTCAAGCGGACCACGAAAACTAGTGGACTGAAAATTACGACAAAGAAGTGCCGACAATAATAAAAATAGAGATAAAAAAATGGATACAAACAACACCATCCAGAAACTGAACAAACAAAAGGAAAAATGGACTAACAGATTTGGCCAACGAACTCGGACTAAAAACAGCACTAAGGACAAATTAAGGACACAGGTAAATCAAACAGACACCTGACTCGCTAGACAATAACTGTGTTTATAGCATCTCATGTCAATGCGGAGATATAAATTGGACAGAGTGGAAGGAAATTAAGAAATCTGTTTAAAGATCTCAGATCCGGAAAATCAAATTCATCCAATCTCTTATTATTATAAATCGACAGTGGCCAAGGGACCTATCAAAATTACAACTAGGTTCGGTCATCATTGGGCAACTTACATTTCCAGCCTTCACGCAATTACAATTTTTGATATGTATGTAAGTCTATGTGTATGTGTATTCATGTAAGTGTGTGTGTGTGTGTGTGTGTGTGTGTATGTATGTATGTTTATGATTTTTTTATCTACTGTTAATTTTGTTAATCAATACAATATATATCATTTGTTTGTTGCATCTCCAGACGCAGGAACAAATAAATTTAAAAGCTTTATTAGTTGAAACTTATCGAAAAATAATTAATCATTACATAGGAAATCTCGGATAAAATTTACCCGTGAAAAAATTGTTTCTTTTATCTTGGACAAATAGAGTTTTTAAATCCTTTTAATTTACACGATTCTCGATAGGAAAACACTCGAGTGCAGGCTGTGTACGTGTCGAAACAGGCTATCTTAGGACAAATGTACAACAAGATAATAAATGAACTTTGTGCTATCGGAGACACTATTGCGATAGTTTTCAAGTCCCCTCGGTGGGAAAAATTATCGTCAGTGCGTCCTTCACCTTCAGTTCTGCACACGCCGTTCGTCTTACTAATACCTTTGAGTCTAGATATAAAGCTACTCAATCTTAAATTTCTTTGAAAATAATTTGTGTCGGGTCAAAGTATTACGACCCGCAAGGCTACTTTAAAAAAATACTTCAACGTTCAAATACTTACGAAAATTTGGATATCATAAAAAACATTACGGTCAGACATTGAAAAGTGATTACGGTCATATAGCACTTTTGTAGAACGAAACATGCAGAAATTGAACCCTGGGAGTAACAAATTGTCATTATGTCGTGCTGATTGCTCATGGTTGAAAATGTGGGAATATTAGTAGAGAACCCAGAAACGATAACTCCAGCATTGTTTTCACATTATCAATATACGGAAATGATCATCGTCAAGACTTACTGGTAGATCGCTCCTGCAAAATAGGAAGTAAATGCGTAATTTGCGATAGCCGACGAAACGATATCTATCAATAGGGTCAAAAATAGTATTGTTGTATGAACAAATATTTAATGTTGTAGGCGAGGATTAATCAAGACACAAGCGATCAATGAAAGTCAATCCTTTAAGATATGTCGGATATATCTTTGATACAATATTGACAATGACCATCATTATCTTTTCCAATGGATAAAACAAATAATCACACAAACTAAACCCTCTATGCAATTCAGAAAGGATGCAATTTGATCTGTAAGTCAGCGTCATATATTACAGAACATTAAAAATAATCGGGGCGTCGGTGGCCGCAACGGTTTAGGCGTGGACACGTCACTCATCACTGTAACTTAAAAGTCCCGAGTTCGAATCCAGCGGCCCTGCATTCGAGCTCGACATACTTACAAATGGGATTTTTTCAAAAATCACCGGCAAAAAAATAAATAAATAAAAAATAAATTAAATTAAAAATAATCAGACATTCCAAAACAGATGCCTAAGCGAAATTACTAACTACACATGATATACATAAAAACTTCATCCACCACAATGACTTTAGAATAGAAACAAGAGCAGAAAGATTAAAACTGAACTTTAAGTGACTGCAAAACATTTTAAGAACATGGGAATTATGAAACTGGATAAATTTCCTCTCAAACTCCTATCGGCGAAACAAATCAATGAGTCCTTGTACAAAAAATTTGGAGAATACTGTGCTTGAAGCGAAAGAAGGAGAAAAAGAGATATCCAGACTCAGCTATTATTTAAATTATTAGCCGACACCAATGTTCTGACCTTGGCAGGGCCCCTGGGTATTCAAGAGGCAAAGATAAAGTGGACCTCTTGGCCAAAAAAGGAGCCAATATGGATTATCTATGCTCCGAACCCTACTGTGGCCTAGCATCTTGCCACAAAAAAGAGAAGAAATGAATCCTTAAAGAGTCCAAAATGTGGTGGAACAATATGCCAGGCATGAGCGCACGAAGCGATTCATCGAAGGGCCATCCGCAAAACGTACAAGGAAATTACTGGAAGGCAAGCTCAATCGAACCAGGATTCTGGGTGGACTAATGGCAAGGCACTGTCATTTAAGAAGGTGCATACACATAGACAGATACTCTCAGGAAGAAGAGGAAACAGCAGAGCACATTTTTTGCTTTTATGAAGATCTTTGTAGGTGCAGATTCTTGCAGCTAGGAGAGGATAAACCTGAAGCAAGATTTTACACTGAGGAGCCGCAGGCAAGGCTATGGATGTTGATTAACAACCTGAAGCTGGTCAGTGAGTTATAAAAAAATAGAAGAGTACAACATATTCACTTAGGTCGAGGTGTAGAAGGCCTTGTGGCCGCCTCTTTTATCCGTATCCTTATCCCGCACATTTTTAAACAATGTTTAATAACAATCGTTGAAGTTAATTGTTTAGTCAAATAAATAGATCAATGCAGCAGTAGTTAGACATTTCACATGCTTATACTATTGTTATCTTAATTCAGTGTTCGTGTTTATAAATTAAGTTTTTATTTGTTTTTTAACTTTAATTTTCTGATATATATGCATCTATATGTATATGATTTTTTTTAATGAATGGTAATTTGTGAATCAACATGGTATGGTATGGTGAAGAAGGATACTAGGAAGCGGGGTTTGCACTCCCCAGGCACTGCAGCCTTCTGGCTTATTGTACCTTCCTAGTTTCTTTGTTCAATGCAATAGACTCAATCCTTCTTCTTAGAGCTATCAGGTCATTGACTTTCGCTGCTGCAATTTGATTCCCTAAGTTTTTTTCGTACGTTAGGTTAAATCTCTATTGAGCTGTTGCTTCGCATACGAAGATGATATAGGTGGCTGTTTCTTCCTCCTCATTACTTCACTACATAATCTGCAAATGGGATCATCGTTGTTGATGATGTTTGAACCCATGTTGCGTAATGTTTTCTCAGATGCCAGTGACCGGTTAGTATTCCTACCACTCCTCTGAGTTTAGCCCTCTCCAATTGCAGCAGCGCTTTTGCCAGTCTTGGTGAGGATTGCTTCATCATAAGTTTACGATGTCTAGCACCGCTAGAGTTTATCCACTTTTCCTTTTGTTTTGTTTGGATCCATTCTGCGGTTTCACAAGAGGGCAAGGTGAAAGCTGAATAGAAGTGGATGACCAAATATGACAGAAAAAGCCCATAAGAATGGAAGAAGTTGAGATAAATTAAGAAGAAACTATGGTGTTGAACCCATAATGCCTTCGTTGTGTCGGTCAGACCCAAACTGAATATAGCAAGAAGCCAAAACATGTTTACAGTATAACACAGCGAGAATAGGCAGACCAAATGATAGGTTGAAGACAAATGGAAAGGCAAATTTTCAATTCGACAGGATTTAGTTTATTTTGTTCCGGAACTTAGTAATTTTAAGAATGATAACTAAATTCTGACATTTCTTGTCTTTGAGGTCTGAGGAATGATGTAATTTGATCGCTTCACACAATCATGATCTGTTTATCCTCGTTGTTAGAAACATTTCGGAATTTCACCACTTCAGTGGTCTGTTTCTTTCTGTTGGTGACCTGCTTATAGACCTGACGGATCAATGAAAACGGACAAGCCAGAACAATAGGAACAACAACAAATATTATTCTTTGGTCTACATAGAACCGTAGACAAATGAAATTAATGTAAAAGGAGATCTTTTATATGATGTATTCTAATGCCTAATGAAAAAGATAATCAAAATTTTGTGTGTTAATCAAAGTTAAGTAATCGCTCGAGGAAGACTTAAAAAAAGAAAAGAAATTCTATTGTCAAAACTGAACAATGCTTACGTTTAAACCGACAGGTCTGAGTCTGGGTCCCCTCCCCCGCGAGTGAGGGGGAGAAGGTACGAGTAAGGCCTGGATATTTAGGGATTAGAGTTTTTATTTTACTATTTTAATGAAATGCTGATTAAGATGATGGGCGGGCGTCTGGACCCGCTAGATTTTGCTGATGTGTTGTTGGTCTGAGGGGCAACTGGTTACTCCAAAATTTCAAGTTATGGGTAAAGAAGGTAAGAACTGACAGACCAAAACAGTGAGGATTGACCCGTATAAACGGAAACAACCCAACTACAATAATTAAATATTTAAAACTAATTTGTATGATATAAACATAGGGATTACCTTTTAGCAGTTCTCTCAGCTTTAAGAGGGCCTCTTCGACCACTTCGGGAGTCTCCCTCAACTCGTTCTTGGCTATTTCTAACGTTTCAGCCGATGGTGGCCCGTCTTGGATGCAAAATTTCTCGGCCATAGTCGACCTGTACAAAACATAAAATTACACTTTGATTTATTATAAACGTCATAAACAAACGGGATTGGGATTTTTATTGAATCCTGAAATAAATTCCTTATTACTAGGGACATGGTTACTATAAAAAATAAAATAGGTACATATAGTGTATGTATTTATTTTTTTAAAAGAAATATGCAAATACAAAAGAAAAATATGTATAATTTTAAAAAAAAATCAACATTTAGTTGCTTTTTTTAAAAAGAATTTTATAATTTACACATATTAATTTCTTAATGTGTAAATAGGAAGAGCATAATAAGTAAATAAAATAAACTTTTAATTGTCAAATTTTTTTCGTTTCTTTTTATTTAGTTGCTTTTGCTTTTTATTTTCAGGAATTGGTGGAGATAATGAATTTCATGTAATAAAGATAAAAAGATTGAGTTGCATATAAATTTTCTAAAGGTCAGTATCAGATTGCTGCTAGTTTATTTTAAATATTTTTATTATTGTAATATAAATAGTTTTATTGTTAATTAATGTAGCCGTGAAGAGGGAAGCCGGTAAAACGGCCATGTATAACCGCAAAAGAAAACAAAGGAAAAGAAACAAATGATTGTTGAAGTTCATCATCCTCACCATTTCCAGAAAGGAAACCTTTAATTTGAAAATTTATTTGAAATAACGTGTACATTGTTCATATAAAAGGGTTTTTTAAGACATAAATTTTTAAGACTAATTCGACTTTTTTTGTTTTAAATAATTATAATATTAATAAGCATATTACTTAGAATTAATAGAAAATTTTATATAAATAAACATTATATAAATATATAATATAAACAGATTCAATATGGAAAGATTTAAAGAAAACTTTATAAATAAATATAAGGTTAGCTTTATAATAAAATGTTGTAAAATATTAATATCATTGGTATAATTGTCTTTTAAAAATATAGATGCTAATGAAGGGAGTAATTTCCCGAAACTACCAAATAAATGTTTAAATAAATAATGAATATACTTAAATACATACAATTATTTAAAAACATAAAAAAACAAATTAGTCATAAAAATTCCATGTCTTAAAAAAATTTATAAGAAAAAAATTCTATGAACAGATTTCAACTACATATTGACACCAAGCAAAGAATATTCTGAAGAACACCGCCAACAATGAAAAGAAACTTGCATCGGCTATCAATCAGAGAACCTTTTTGTTGAAATGCAGACAACACAAGGCCCTGAAGATGATCTCAATAAAGGTCGAAACGTTGGCACGTTAAAGAAAATGTTTTTCTAATACATACGTCACACCAGACCGCAATTTCCAAATAATCATTAACTAACGGTCATTAAAAAAGTCCTCCAAAAAAGTATATTTGTACTTTTAATTTTTGTAATTAAAAATTTATCTTTCTAGTGCTAACAAAATAGTATAAAATAAAAGTGCATAAAAATGATTAGGGAATTATTCAAGTGTCATTATATATGCACTTGAAGGATGTGAAAAAGAAATAAAATTAAACTTTAATCTTCAAAATTATTTGAAGTAATGCACATTTTTAAGTATTCGAAAGTGAAATTATGTCGACATTTGGTTTAATTTACGGTGTTTTATATATAAATATATTTCGTACGAAACAGAGCGATAGCTACATTCAAGAAATGAATGAGATTATGGAACAGCCAAAGTAGCCGAAGAGTAAGTTCAGCCCACGAGGTGAAGGGCTTTTCTTGAAAATTTTAGTTTATCATGAAATTTTTAGTTACCTGAAACCCTTCTTCCTTTTCTTTGCTCGTTTCTTTTCGATAGTTAATTTTCGATTTATTTAATAATTCAATTAATGATTTAATTTGTTCGATTATTTAAAATGTTGGTGGCTTGCTTATGGTTTATTTGCTTTTATATAGCATGATACATGCAATAAAACTTTCAAAAAGGAGGCTAAAAAAAAAGAAAAAGTGAATATATATGTATAAATCTGGTTCTTACTGGTTATAACAGATTTCCCTCACGCTTTTTAGATCTTACTTTGTATAACCATGATTATCTGAACTTTTGTAAATGTTAAATATAACACAAATTCTGTGAAAGAACAAGCGAAAACAAGCAGGATCACATCATTATTAAAGTTAACATAAAACAATAAACTTGTCATTTAGTTCATTTTGACTAGGTGCACATCTCTCATTAGACACAATTGGACATTTTACATAAAATATTCTTTTTCAATAAAAATGACGGCAATAATTATTTTCTAGGGAAAAAGCCTTGAGAACAGCAGTGATTAATTTACGAACTCCGATAGCGAATAAGAAATAAAAGTTATAGAAAATAAGTGCATTAGTCATAAATTTAAAAATACCACAGATAAGTACGATTGAACAAAATAAAATAATTGTTTTTATTCACTAAAACTTACTTTTGTAGCTAGATGAAAATTTAGTTTGTGCCGTTGAGTTTTCTTTACCAAAAACAAAACAAATATGAACGTACTGAATAGAAAATGAGGCATTTTAAAGGAATTTTTTTTTGAATTGTCAAAATGCGATTAGACCGAACTTGAAAGGCTGTTCCTGGTTTGATGAACGCACTCGGGGTATCTCAATTTTCATTTAACTAAACCGAATTTCATATCAGACATTTTCGAGAGAACAAGGAGAAACGACCTTTTGAAATCTTATTCCAACAATGCTGATTTCATCATGACAATTGGAATTCACTGAAGTCCAGTCGATTATTTATCAGTTATTGTGAAAAAATCTTAATATTTACGTATTCCTTAAGAGTCTTTCGAAATACGTGAAATAAATTAATAAAAGAGGATTCCATCTTTTTAGTACATACATAGACGATAATATTAAAAAACAAAACAAAAATCATGTTAAATCAGGAGTTAGTTTGACACTCACATTTTCCTGTTGTCCGTAAGGCTACACGTTGACTACTGACTGTTGATTTGGAAAGACAAGGCTATTCCTTGATAAAAAACCCCTTGATAAATAGTATCGACGATTTGGTAGGATCTAATGTCATTGATGCATCACCAAAAATGGAAACAAAAAATGATCTTTTCCCCAGGCCAAGGGCCGTTCGCGATTAAACCCTTGCGTTAACACAGTTTTTACCGACAAACAAAGGATTCCGCGATAAAGTATTTAATTGTTTCAGACTGAAAACAAAACAGCGTTCTTCGGAAGGAGTACAAAGTTTAAATCGATTGATTTTTACTTTTCTAATTTTTTGTTGACTTTTGAAAAATTACAGAAGCGTAATTTTGACAAAATTCAGGAACTATTTCATTTTATGCAATATCGTGTACCGGCCATAATTTTAAAATATGCAACTTAGAGGAGAACTTAGTAAACTGTCTATTTCATCTTGATTGTCCGGGATCATAATGGTCTGCTTATTCTCGCTATATTTGTCAGTCATAAGTTTCCGCATTTTATCATTAGTGATTTAATTATTCAGAAATCGTGAGATGCGGTCTGGTGTGATGTAGGTTTCAGAAAAACATTTTCTTTATAGTGCCCACGTTCGATCTTCATTGAGATCATCTTCAGGGCTCAAAAAATTTGTTCATAGAATCCCATGTAGTTCGCTCTTCTCGTGTAGAAATGTATGGTGGTTAGTGACCGTTAATCGCTAATTATTCAGAAATCGTGAGATGCGGTCGGGTGTGATGTAGGTTTCAGAAAAACATTTTCTTTATCGTGCCAACGTTTCGATCTTTATTGAGATCATTTTCATGTAAACATAATACAAAATTTAAAAAAACCCCATGGAAAAGTTAAAAAATTATAAATGAAAAAACAATAAGTCTAATAATAATTTCTGAATAATTAAAATAATAATTTAAAATTTTTGTAATATTTTTATTATTAAAATATTTTTAATTGTCATGGCAATGGCTCAACAGTTAAGACAAAAAAAGTTTTTTTTTTAATTTTTCATGCGTTATTTTGTAAATTTTTCAATTATTATTTAACTTAAATTAAATAATTTTTATCTTGATCCACTCTATTTTTATAAATTATTATTTGATTTTTTGTTTAAAAAAATTACAAGCCATCTAAAATAAATTGAAATTATTTTGTAGTGCATATAAAAAAATGCACCAAAAAATTTGATTACTAAATAAAAAATCTTTTAATATATCTGCGCATTTTAAAATCACAGTACGTAACCTTCTTCTACATTGTTCATGAGGCTTGTCTGCAAGTAAAATTTCTTTTTTTAGAAATTACTTAAAAATAATAATGAATTTTTGTATAAATAAGCCTAATTTACGGATGAAAAATGGCGATTTATCTTTAAATAAAACTATAAAGGCTGTTTCAGGGTTAAATGTCAATACTACTTCCAATTAATTAAGGTTTTTAGTTAAGATAGATACATTTTGAACAATGTGTGGTGATTAGTGACCGTTTGTCGATGATTATTCAGAAATCGTGAGATGCGGTCTGGTCTGACGTAGTTCCAAAAAACATTTTCCTAATCGTGCCAACGTTTCGATCTTTATTGAGATCATCTTCAGTCAGGGCCTGGGATTTACAAATATTGTTTGCATTTAACAAATACATGTAGACTGTAGAGAAAAGTGAATTTATACAGTGCAAAATATTTCCATATCCTACATTTATTTGTTAAATTTTAACAATGTTTGTAAATCCCAGGCCCTGAAGATGATCTCAATAAAGATCGAAACTTTTTTTTATTGAATATATAAAAAATATATTTTGCATTGCATAAATTCACTTTTTTCCACATCCAAAATGTAATGGTTATATGTAAAAATGTTTGTAAATCCCAGGCCCTGAAGATGATCTCAATAAAGATCGAAACGTTGGCACGATAAAGAAAATGTTTTTCTGAAACCTACATCACACCAGACCGCATCTCACGATTTTTAAATAAATATCGATTAACGGTCACTAATCACCACACACAAAGATCGAAACGTTGGCACGATAAAGAAAATGTTTTTCTGAAACCTACATCACACCAGACCGCATCTCACGATTTCTGAATAATTATCGACTAACAGTCACTACTCACAACATATTAGTGATTTAGATGAACAAATTACAGCAGGAAAATTATTCAATTGGATTCTAAACTTGTAGGCAATACAGCAAAAAATTCTCTCTTTGCAAATTAAGTATTGACCACTTTGAACTCACGAACACTGTGGATCAAGGCATTGTTACTGCCAAGCTTTCGACCATTAACCAGTCGTGTGACTATAACATCAAATGAGTAATTCACTGTTATCTATAAAAACTTAAATATGCCAATCTGTAGAGATATTTAAGATTGTTTTGCCCTGATGATGACCTTAAAATTGGTCGAAAGTTTGGTAGTAATAACTGAATGTTTTTTTCAAGACTGTCCCTTAATCCAGTGTTGGTGTTTATAAATTAAGTTTTTATTTGTTTTTTTAACTATAATTTTCTGATATTAAATATGCATTTATATGTATGCTCATATGTATATGATTTTTTTTAATGAATGTTAATTTGTGAATCAACATGGTATGGTATGGTGAAGAAGGATACTAGGAAGCGGGGTTTGCACTCCCCAGGCTCTGCAACCTTCTGGCTTATTGTACCTTCCTAGTTCCTTAGTTCTTCTTCTTAGCGGTATCAGGTCATTGACTGTCGCTGCTGCAATTTGATTCCCTAAGTTTTTTCCGTACGTTAGGTTAAATCTCTATTGAGCTGTTGCTTCGCATTCGAAGACGATATAGGTGGCTGTTTTTCCTCCTCATTACCTCATTACATAATCTGCAAATGGGATCATCGTTGTAGATACCCATGTTGTGTAGATGTTTTCTCAGATGCCAGTGACCGGTTAGTACTCCTACCACTCCTCTGAGTTTGGCCCTCTCCAATTGCAGCAGTGCTTTTGCCAGTCTTGGTGAAGGTTGTTTCATCATAAGTTGACTATGTCTAGCGCCGCTAGAGTTTATCCACTTCTCCTTTTGTTTTGTTTATAGTCTTGCAGATCCTCCTGTGGCCAGTCTGTCTGCTTTCTCGTTACCCAAAATTTCTCTGTGCTCTGGTACCCGAGATATCATCAGGTTGTTGTGTTTCCCCTGGTTTTGGAGATTTTGGATGCANATTATTTTGATTAAAGAACATTGCTTTAAAGTAACTAGTTTCTTTTTTTTTGTTTAATACCAAAATCCTGCATTATTTTCCGGACAACCCAATATATCATTTTTTTGTTGCATCTCTAGATGCAGGTACAAATTTCGTATCAATAAAAAAATTTATGCACGGTCCCGTAAAATTCAAAAAATTGAAAATCCCTGGAGTTAAATGGTTTAGGAAAATAATCTTTACAGGATTTGCTTTTATGGGTTCCAGGTCGAAAGGTTATTTAAAATTAAGCTGATAATCTCTTGTTATATACCGTATTTTATTTTTTAAAAAATTTATTTATTTATTTTTTTAAATTTAGATTCTGCGAAATAGTCAATTAAGTAATATTAGTTTGGTTGTCACATTTCGGTCTGCCCGTCCTTGCTTGGGAAAGATTCAAAATGCCGAAATTCATCTGACCGACCGAACCAGCGAAGATAGGCAGACCAAACCGACCGGTAGTACCAAATTGCAGGCACTTCCTTTGTTAAAACTTAAAGCTGATGCATGAAAACGAAACAGGCAGCCTTAAAATTTGGGCAGTTTAATCTAAAAATGATAGCTTTTAAGATATGCCTGATTCACCAGAGCAGTGACCTAGATTCGTCATACTTTTGAGGAACTTGGACTCAGATTATTAAACAAACAAAGAAACAAAGATAGAGAAGAAAGAGAGAATATTATGATAGGAAAAAGAGGGATAAGAAAAAGAAGAAGAGGAAGAGTGAGAGGGGGAGAAAGAGAGAGAGAGAGAGAGAGAGAGAGAGAGAGAGAGAGAGAGAGAGAGAGAATGTTTTTCAATGTAATTGATTTTGATTTAAGCATGGGCACATACAACCGAGTGACAAAATTATAGACACACCCTAATTGTTATGATTTTTTAATGTAATGGGTTTGTACTACAAATATTTATTCAAAACCCATGAAATAAATATTTTTCTTCATTAAACTGTAAATTTTCAGTAAATAAGAGAAAAAAAAATTAAAATACTAAAATTAAACGATTTTGTCTGCGACAAGGTTATAATATTTTGTGGCATTACCACTCAGTTTTATTATTTCCAGTAATCTTTCTGGAATGGTTTTGTACAAATTTTGAATAAAATCTTGAGGCAAATTATTCCAGGCAGTGGTGACAGCTGTTTTAAGTTCGTCGACAGAGTTGTACTGCTTACAGTCTTGATATACCATCCTCGATAATTTTCCTCATTCATTTTCTATAATGTTCAAATCTGGTGAGAGTGCAGGCCATTCAAGTTTTTCAATGCTGTTTTGTGAAAACCATTCTTTAACAATTTTTGCATTGTGTATGGGTGCGTTGTCCTGCTGGAATATTGGATTCCCTTCGCATAAATCGCTGAAACTAGTTTTTTCTTTGTCCAGTAATTTCTTGTAATATTCCGAATTGACTTTTTTTAGAAGAAAACAAAGATTACCTTTTTTATTACACCCAATACAACCTCAAATCATCAAAGATCCACCACATTCGGCGCCGTGACAAATTTTTTTCTTCTTTAGTTAGATCATGAAAGTAGTATGCGTATCCGTCCGGGCCGTCCAAATGGAATTGTTTTCGTCAGAAAAAATAACTTTTCGCCAATAATCTTCATTTTTCAAAATTTGGTTTTCAACAAATTTGACACGGGCTAGTTTGTGGTGGGGTTTCAGAGCTGGGGTGCGTTTCAGTTTTCTTCGGACTGTTTTCAGTTTTTTTAAGGAATCTCTGAACAGTTCGAACAGAAACATCAACACCTGCCTTCCCTGCGATGGCTTTTGCAGTCGAAAAGCTGTTTGAAGCAACGCGCAGGATGTGCGATTTGTCTCTTCTGGTCAAGGAAGGAGGTCTTCCAAAGCTATGCCCTCTTCCGTAGTCTTCACCTAGTCG